CGGATGATGATTGAAGTTTTTTGCTCCTATGATTTATACATTGGGACAATGTATCTTAAGTGTGGGGGGTGCATCTCAAGGGTAGCTAAACAAATTTTGTGTGCAAAATATTTTTTTTAGGGAAGGTAAAAATGATGTTATTTCTCTTTTTAATGGGTATTTGGTTGAGAAGGTTTTTTTTAATTATTCACATAAAAATATCATTTTTTTTTAGATTTTTTACACTACCTTTTACTCTTGAAAACCACTTCCAAAAGAACTCTTGTGATTAGGAACACCATCTTCTTTCATTTCCAACAATGGTTTAAGTACATCTCAAATATTCAAGAACCATTTTGGAAAACAAGCCACCCTCATATCTCATCAAATAAATTGGGATGATCAAAATGACTTTCAGTAAATGCTTGTTGAGAACCAATTCAAATGAGTAAAAAAAAAAAAAGAAGAAAAAAAAAACTCATGATATACTGAAAAGTCAACTGATCCACTTCTATACTGAAAAGTCAAATACACCAAAGAGCCATCCTACACCCCCAAAAAGTCCCAGTCACAATCCATTCATCTCCTCTCAAGAGTATAAGTAATTTTTCTAAATCTAACGATATTTTTTGTGTGTTTAATAGAAAAATGGGTTTTGGACCGAGAACGAAAAAAAGAGTTTACAAACATTTTTTTTACCTCTCTTAAAATAATTTATTTTTGTGCATATATTTTTGTTGAACTAACCAAGGCATCAAAAGGTGACAACATTGCTCGAGGACTAGCAACGCTCAAGTGTGGGGGAATTTGATAAGCACAATAATTACTTATGTTTTACATAAGTAATTGCATTTATCTGTACAAAAATGTGAAGCGAAAACAGATAAATATTCTCGAGTTAGCGGAAACATAAAATACGACATGGAGCAATGAAAATAGGGTCAAAAGTCAAAAGGGATCGAAAACCGGCACTTCTGGATCAATTTCGGGCATCAAACGAAGAAAAAAAAGCAAAGTACAAATTTGGGCGCAGGAACCGGCGCCGGATGCCCTATAACCGGCGCCGGTCGTCGGGACTTTTTGCCCAATTCGGGCCTGTTTCCAACCGGCGCAGCACAACCGGTGCATTTTTGCACCCAACCGGCGCCGGACATGCTATAACCGGCGCCGGTTGTTCCGATTTTCTGCTAAAACAGTCCGACGTGCAGAAGATTTCTGATGGGAAAAACCCATCTTCCTCCATATCTGATCAAATATTGCTTCCATACCCGATTGTTAGGCTTGAATAGACTAAAAGATGCCCTTCTTTAGCCTATATAAAGCCCTTAATTCATCAAGCAATAACATTCCATTCCATAGATTAATTCCTAGCTTTTATATTTTTGTTCTTGGAATTTTCTTCAAGTTATTGAGGAGGAAACTTCAACCTCCGAAATCATTGGTGTTTAGGTATTATTTCCTTTGTAATTTCATGTTACATTACATTTCATATTGTATTGTGATTAATATGAGCATTAGAGGCTAATTTCTAAGCTAAGGCTAGGGATGAAGCTCTATGCATACTAGGTGTTTGATAAAAGTTATGAACCAATAAATTGTGATTTATCCTTTATATTTTGATTGTTTATGACTATGGTGTACAACATAGAAGTATGTTAAATTTAGTTTATGCTTGCAATTAACGTTGAAGTCTAAACTATGAACATTAAAGGATAAACATATATAGTGCCGAGAATAGAAATATATCCGGTCTTATATGATACGGGTGTGAAGTCTTGATATTCAACGGGGTTTTCGGTAGATGAATGTAAGCCGTAACGGGACTTACACGTAACGAAAACCACGCTCTCGCTGCCTTAACCGGAGTTGAGAATATTTTAGCGACATCGTATTCATAATTATTGGGGAAGAACTATTATTAAATAACTATTAAAGCATTTAGGTGAATCCCGATTGCCTTAGTAATTCTCATTCTTGTTTAAACCAATCTCAAAGAGCAAAGTTCCTGAAAAAAAATATATCATTTACATTCTTTGCATTCAATACTCGACTTTATAATATCAACCATTTCCCTGTGGATCGACCCGGTATTTACCGGTATTTTATTACTACATCGGCACTTGTATACTTGCAAGTTCAGCCCGATCAAACACGTGTACAAATTTTGTGAACAAATATTTGTATAAATTTTTATTCTTCCATTCCATGCTCGTTTCTTTACTTTTGATCCAATGCTCATCAATTTCCTAAATAAGCCGTAAGGACACAAAATAAACTTAAGAAAATTGCATACAACCAATTGTATTACTAGTACTATATAATTCTTTCGTTATTTTTTAATTGCAATGATCTAAGAGCTTATAAAATACTCGTAAGAGCTTAGAAAAAATTATTTGTGCATGCCCCATACCCCTGTTTGTGAACACACAATTTTTTTATGAGTGAACCCGGGACCAAAACGAGATGACCTGAGTTACAATGACTATCATTCCTTGGTTATTTTCCAGAACAACTTGGTTCACCCTCTTTTGAGAGAGTGATGTTTACCCCCACCCTAGTTGTCTGTCATGTGACAAGGCAATATTTTTTAATTTAGCAATTGTTTTATGTTTTTCATTTTTAATCTAATTTTTTAAAGATATACTATATCAAAAATTTTCATTATTTACAACCTTTCATATGATACTAATATTGTATATGAAAAATTAAAAACAAAATCAACTAAAAATAGATATTTAGAAAAAATAATTTTTTTTCAATTTTTTATATATATAATATTGATACCATTGGATAGATCATAAAAAATTAATAAACAAGACATTTTTTTTTTACAAAAATTTGACAATAAAAAAAAAGTTATACTTGGTAATCGTAGAGGAAAGGGGGTGATGTTACACTCCCACTTTGGTTTGAAATTTTTCCCTCCCACGTTGTAAAGTCTCAAATCTCAATACACTTGGTAAAGTTCTCACTTCTCAATCAACTTTTACAATTTCCACTTACTCTGCTTTTGTATATTTTGAAAACAAAAATCAATTTTTGGACCATGGCAGCATGATAAAAAGTAAAAACTTATGTTAACTCCATATGTAAATTTATTTACAGCATAATTTTCAAAATTTTATGTAAACTTATTTTAGTCCAGAATTTGCTGGGTTTTATGTAAATTTATTTTCAGAATTTTGTGTGAACTTGTACTATTCCGTGAAGATTCCGCCAAAGTAAACTATGTTATGATCCAAAGCATTCTGCTTTTGTGACTTTGTCTATTTTGACTGCTCTATTTTTCATTTCAATTATTATCGATTCTCCTGCAAAGTTTAGTAAAAAAACTAGGAAAAGGGTATAAATATATCCTTGTAATATGAGTGTAAAAAATAATATATCTCTCTTCTATTTTTTGGAATAAATATATTACTGAAGTTTATGTGGAAGTGTATACCCACGAACTTTTAAAATGTGTAAGTATACCTATCATGTTCCTACAAAAGAGCAAAAATAAACCTATTCACTTTAAATAAATAAAAAAATTGGAAGATACATAAAATAAATTTTAAAAACGCAAAGTAAATTAGAAATTCAAAATTGAAAAATAAAAAAAAATGAAAAATTTAAAAATAAAGATTAATTTTTATGTTAAAATATTAAATATTTAATTTTAAATTGCAAAATTATTATTTTTCAATTGTGAATGTAATTAATATTATTAATTTTAATCTTGTTGCGAAATTTTGAACACACTATTTTATTTTTTGAAAATACATTCTTTGATTTTGTCTAACCTTAATAAAATTAAACTCACTATTTTGTAATCTTGAACTATTTATCATCATAAAAAATACGGAGTATGTAATTTTATAGTGCAAAGAATACAAAAAAAATATTGATTTTTACACATTGCAACACATATGTTGACACTTTTCTGAAAGAATCTTAAATACTCCCTCCGTTCTTTAATATTAGTCCTCTTAGACTTTGGCACAAGTTTTAAGAAGAAAGTAGTAGAGGTAGTGTAAAAGGTGTAATGAGTAGTGGGTAAATGAAAAAAGAGGAAAGAAAAAGAGGTAATGGTAATAAAAGTTGGGGTATAAAGGTATATTTAGAGTAAAAACTTTCCTTAAATGGAAAGGAGGACAGATAAAAAAAACATCCCAAAAAGGAAAGAAGGACTAATAAAAAAGAACGGACGGAGTATATAGTAAAATTTTGAAGTAATATTTTATACTAACAATATTAAATAGTAATATAAAAATAATAAAACAGAGAGTTGGACACAAGTATTTCTCTTTTCAATCTCAAATTTATAATATATTTTTTAATGTTTTTCGAAATTTATTTTATTTACTTAAAGTCAATAAGTGTAAATTTGCTCTTTTATACGAACATGAAGGGTGTATTTGCACATTTTAAAAATTCAGAAGTATATGTGCACTTCTACATAAATTTCAGAGGTATATTTGTTCCAAAAAATAAAACAAAAATATATTTGTTCGCATATATTCTAGAAGAGTATTTTTTTGGGTAAACATAGAAAAGTATATTTGAATCTTTTCCCAAAAAACTATTTCCCGCCTTTTTTACATTTCTTTTTCATTTACATCTCTTATTGGAATGCAAAGTTCCTAATACTCTTACGACCCAAAGTGTACACTACTTTTTCATTTACAACCCAGAGAGGCTTGTGTCTATTTTCACCCGACATCACTCTAATTTCAGTGTAAAAAATATACTGAACACTACTAAACTTAATGGAAATGTAGTGTGTGCATTGTTCTAGGAGCTACGATTATTTTAAAATATGTACCTCCTCGATTTCAAGTTTGTGACAGATTTATATGTATAGACAAAAAAATGCTGGGAATATGATCCTGCATCAGGCTGCATGGTATCATACTATCATGGGATACAAGTCTCACTATGTTATTGTTATGACTAGTTATATTTTTTGCATTAATTATGCATTATGTAATTTTTTATAAGTATCGTTTTTTTGTGAGAAAGTTATGCTCCGCTTAGTGCTTTCGCTTTTAACCTAGGCCCCATCTCATTGCTTTTGTGCACTTTTCACATTAAAAAAGTTTGTGTTTGTTATAAAAATTACTAGAATTAAGAATTCACGCGAGTTCCAAATTTTCTTGTAAATACTACGGAGTACATAGTATCTTATATGGTAGTATATGCACATATTTTGTCATTCCTATTGAAGTATGACAAATATTGACTGTGAGTATCATTACTTTCTTCTGCTGGCTTTGCCTAACCACAAGGAAGTGCATAAGATGCTTGCCTACATCCATTATAGCAGCTCTGCCATTTTAGGAAACTGCTGCAGCAGCCAAGCTACGCCCCTGATAGCAACCTGTCAATTAAAAATGATAGGCTGATAACATTAATACTGGGTAATGGTGGTGAGTATATTATATACGTAGTATGACATAATCATATCTTTTTCCGATGATCTTGCAGTGCAGCAAATAGTAGGATGCAGCAATATGTGTATCGAACTAACATTTTTTGTTTTAGTCATGACGGGCATTTGTTTTAGCTAAGTAGTCATGAAAACATGCAAGTTCACCAATACGAATGGACATTTCTAATACTCCCTCCATCCCAATATAAAAGGCACATTTGCGTTTCCACACATTTTTAGGGTGAAAACCGTTTGAACACTGTTTGGCATTGTTTACACTGTTTGGCACTGTTTTGCACTGTTTTGTTTGTCAAAAAGGGAAATGTGCCTTTTATATTGGGACGGCCCGAAAAGGAAAGTGTGCCTTTTATATTGAGACGGAGGGAGTATGAGAATAAATGATGATCACGTCTACTGGAGCTAAATTTCCAAACCGCCCTCCAGTGTCCACAATACCCTTCTCAGGCACTAGGCCCCAGTCTGCCACCCGCCTGAGGCCCAACAGTTTTCAGAAAACTGAATTTATAGTGTCTCAACTATTACAATTCAAAAAATATTCTTGTTTTACTGATGCAGTAATGTACGTAGTATTATGTATATGTGGCTCCAATAATATACTCCCCGTTGGGAGAATAGAGCACGATAGAAGATACATACCAAAGCTGTTTCTCCGGGCTTAAATGTAGGTTCAACCCCGTCTCTCCCATATCTGGTAAAAGGAATGAGATTGGAATGAAAAATAGAAAATGAAAATACACACACGCCACACACGCTGACAGAGACAGACAGAACAAACAAAATTACCAATGTGAAAAACCTTATTTATGTAAAGACAATACTCAGGCAGTTCTTTTAAAATTGGTTTTCATTAAGTAGCAACATGAAGCATGGACACAATAATGAAGAATATCTGGACTCCTACATAAGCATTGGATAGGTATGGGCATAGGTAAAGAAAACCATAAGCCATATATAATTAAATTTGATTACTACATCCAATTACATGATCTGATGATCTAGATCATTTTCCATGTCTGAATGTTAATATCACCAAACCAATATTTTATGAGACATGACCATAACAACTATCTTTACATATTACCATTTCAGTTCAAATTGAAAAACTTATGATGAAAATTTTCAAAATTTTCTCTTATTATCCATTTAATTCCAAAACTTATATCATTGAATCGGAACAGGATGGATGGAATGAAAGAGTGCGTCAAGATTTCTATGTGATCGAGGTATGTCGAATAGACTGAAGGGTATATTTTTATTGGACAACAATTAGACCTAACATATCTAACGAACTAACACATCTAACCTTAGTCTAACATTCAACAAACAACACTATGTTACGGGCGGGGTTGGGAGATAAAAAAGAAGAAGAATGATAGTTGGAAAAACAACTCAGCTTCCCGCCCTAGGCAAGGAAGTGTCCGTCGGTTCCACCGAGCGCACAAGAAGAATTATTCTCCATAAGATTGATGATTTTATTCATTAATATGGCAGCTCTATTTATACTAGTACCAAGAGTCTTGGTGGTCTAGTATTAGAGTAATCCTAATTCTATTACAATACTTTTATTAGGAAATTAACTAAAAATAGAATATCTCTACTAATAGGAAACTGCAACTAATAATAACCTTAGGAAACTAGCACCTAATACTTTAGGAAACTAATAATAACCTTAGGAAACTAACACCCAATACTTTAGGAAACTTACTCTAGGAAACTAATAATAATGAATAATAATAATAATGATAGTAATATTGAGCGTCTTCTTTCCATATCATTACTCCCCTCTTGAACATCAAGCTTGTCCTCAAGCTTGAAGCTAATATATCATGACAACCAGTCTTCCACGATCAAACGGCATTATATGATCAATCATCACCATGTTGGTTGTAGCCGCATGACTATGAGTAATGGCCCAATGTCCCAATATCTGGCCAGATTTCTCAAAATTTTCTCTTGCTAGGAAGGTCCATATTATTTCGTGTATCTTGGTTGTGGGCAGCAAATATGCAGGAGAGAAGGATGAAGGTGCCAACACTGGTGGTGTCAGCTCCACCAACAAGAGTGTTGTTGACAGTGTAAGATTGGCTTGTTGCGAAAAAAACTTGTTCTGTTGGCAGTGACAAAATTGGCGGTGGTGTGAATAGCAAGGATTGCTTATCCAACAATGGTTGTGGGAACAGTGGAGATGCTGACGACCACACAGGAAAAAATTGACATTTTGGTGGAGGGGCTTCCAGCAATGTCGCCACCGGGGCTGTTGTTGGCGGAGATAGAGAATCATATTGTGAGTGTTGCTTTCGCTCAATAGCTTTTGCCAAACTGATTGCCACATCCACGCTGCCGGGGTATTGACATTCCAATGCAAGACGAATGCCTTCTTGAAGTCCTGCTGCAAAGACGTTCACTTGAGTCTGTGAAGGTAAGCCCTCTGTGCGTGCCAATAAACACTGAAACTGGCTAATATACTCATCTAGAGTACCTATTTGCTGAAGTTGGGATAATTTATCTCCCGGTGATGGAACCTCGTAACATATCCTCATAGAACAACAACTATGAAAATCGAGATTGGAATAGTGGGGCACAATGTTATTCGCGCTATGAACTCGATGGTGGTGTTCCTGAAACTCCATATTCTCACCCTGGCATCTGGAGGGTCTGTTGCTGTTGGAGTCAGTGTGTGGACCTGCAGATTTACTAGTCAGGGCAGCAAGCTGTGTGGAAAAAGATGTCACGAGTTCTGTAATTTTTGCCTCAAGCGATCCTTGTCGCTGGTAAATATCTGCCATGAAGGTTTTTAGTGTCTCTGCGGTGACGTGATCGTTCCCCATCGGCCTGGATACTGATACCAAATTGTTACGGGCGGGGTTGGGAGATAAAAAAGAAGAAGAATGATAGTTGGAAAAACAACTCAGCTTCCCGCCCTAGGCAAGGAAGTGTCCGCCGGTTCCACCGAGCGCACAAGAAGAATTATTCTCCATAAGATTGATGATTTTATTCATTAATATGGCAGCTCTATTTATACTAGTACCAAGAGTCTTGGTGGTCTAGTATTAGAGTAATCCTAATTCTATTACAATACTTTTATTAGGAAATTAACTAAAAATAGAATATCTCTACTAATAGGAAACTGCAACTAATAATAACCTTAGGAAACTAGCACCTAATACTTTAGGAAACTAATAATAACCTTAGGAAACTAACACCCAATACTTTAGGAAACTTACTCTAGGAAACTAATAATAATGAATAATAATAATAATGATAGTAATATTGAGCGTCTTCTTTCCATATCACACTACTTCTCAACATAGAATTAGAACTCAACATCTACTACATAGGTTCATTATGTATGCTAACACATCTAACCAATTAACTTATCTAACCTTAGCCTAATCTTCAACAAACAACACTACTTCTCAACATAGAATTACATTTCAAGTCTCATCATCTACTAAGTCAAGGTTTTAAATACACTCACTGTATTTGCCTCTGCCCATCTATTGCATCCAGCCGATAAAAGCTGCATCCCTTGCTAAAAGGAAAATGCCTTCCCTTCCATTCTATTGTGAATCAAACTGTCAGCCTTGTTGAAACTTGAAACTAAGAAAAGATACAGCAATGATTGATAAGATTATACCTAAATGCCATGTAACTCCTACCGCTGAGGAATCCTCTTCTGATATATCATCAATCACAAATTGCAGATCATGTCCAACCGAATAAATAAACTTCTCAAAAAAATCTAGAATAGCCTGAAATACGAACAAAAGTTCAATCCTAACCCCTTATATGGTTCATACGAGGGGCGCGGAATTGTTATAATATATTTATCTTTCTATATTCTTATGTTATTTTTATCTTCTATCTTTCCCATGCTCTTTCATCTTTTTATCTTATATATTTCTTGGGTTCTTATGTTATTGTGATCTTATATTTATCTTTCTCTTATCTGATTAATCTTATTTTATTTTATTTTATTCTTCTTTCTTCTCTTTTGGCTCTGATATCATGGATCGATTCATGATAGCTGATTCCAAAATCTTTTGGGATTAAGGTTTGGATGTTGTTGTTGTTGTGGATCAATTTAGGACAGGTTTTAGTGTAACATGCCGAAATGGTTTTTAATACTACCCTTGTCCCACGAAACATGATCAATTTGACTTTTCTTGGTCAAATAGAGTAAACTTTGGACAATGACTTTAGTTATTATATTTGTGTGAATTTAATAAATTTTATAATTTTTGAGTATTTTTAACAAAGAACATGTTCATATAAATTTCATATTATAAATAATTGCATAATAGAAAATAGCATCAGTCAAACTTGACCATCATTGACCAAGAAAAGTCAATATAGTCATGTTTTATGAGACTGTGGGAGTATTATTTGTACTAATTACAAACACACGGCAAAAGATATAATTATGTGTTTGTGCATAAGAATAATAATGTAGAACAAATTTGATTTAAAAATTGTGAAAACAAATTATGTAAAGAACGACTCCCCAAAATATCCCATATTGTGCCGGGGATATGAGGAGTTTGGATAATTCTATATCTCTTTCACATTCCAACCATTTCACCCCAAGATCCCTGCACAATGACACACCGTTCTTCACTTTGCATCCCTCCCCTCCCAAAGACTCAAACGAAATGAGGACTAAAAAGAAGATTACATAAGTAAAATCATTGCATATGATGAAATATGCCGCTTCCATCAAAACAGAATGCCTAAGTGAACATTGATGAGTTGCATAAACTTATGCTCCAAAAGACAAGAAAAAAGGATTTTGATTCATTTTTTTATGTAACAGAAGCATGCATCTGTCAAATTGTGCTTGTATTTGCAATATAATTTTTTATATGTGCGCTTGTAATACGTCTCTACTTGTGTTTCAACTAGGTAGCAGTGCAGTAGTAGGATTGAGATATAAATATATCCTCTCTACAAGCTAATTTCGTGCTATATAACCAGAAGTCCACCATCCCATCCATCATGATTAATTGTCATTCCAACTGAATCCTATCAGAGGATTTCGTCATGCTACCTGAAATTCTGGATTTATATTCGAAGTGCATGAGAAGAATACCAGAATACTTTCACAAGCAAACGGCAAACCATTAAGCAAGTGGGCAGAATGCAGAGAGAAAATCCAGTTTTTAATCTTTTTAAGAAATTGAATTTTCCATTAAGGAATGGGTAATATATCAACGCCCATCCGAAGGGGTTCATGGTATAGCATTTTATAAGCATAGAATCCCCTGCACTGAAGGCACTATATGACATCAATTGCTTGTATCCAGAAACTAGAACATAGTACGAAGTATATATGAAGGGAAAGGAACGGTCTATGATGTGAATTCGAAACCGCTCCTCGAAAGACTGACCTTGCGGCCAACAAAGGGCTGAGGAAAGATGAGATCTTCATACACACAATTCTCAGCTATAAGGCTTTCGACAGCGGCCAAATCGCGGCTGTTGATTGCAGAGTAGAACTTTCTAACCACGCTCGATGCCGATTCCAAGGTGGCGATGCTCAAAGTTGGGGCAGAAGATCTTGAGGAAGCGTGGGCTAGCACTGCTTTCGGGTTGCAGCTTTGCCCAACCGACTTCGCAACTGGACGGATGACGACGGAACTTCTGGCCGTAGGGAGAAAATAACCGGTGGCAGCTGTTGACAGGAAGTCTTTGGAAGGAAGACGAGGGAGGGATAGACAGGGGGACATTATCATCGCCGACTCCTAAACCTTTGGCTGTGTGCAAAGGTGCAATTTTTATCTTGGGTGGTTCTTGCTTGTACACACTTCTGTACGGAGTACCATGTTTTGTCACACACTTATTTCTAAGTTCAACTTGAAATAACTACTAGAATATATATATATTGTCTTTATAGATATGATATTTAATTTAATGTGGTATTAAAAAATTACAAGTGTACTGCAAAGTTTAAAAATATTTTGTGCTACTATTTTACTAGAGGAAACACAAGATTAGGGGACTAAAAAATTTACTAGACAAAATTAAAAATATTTAATTAAAGGTTTTACTTAACTTTTTTGGGAAACTAAATTTGCAAAAAAAGTTGCATCTTTATATTGATGTTATGCTTATTTTTATATCACATTTCACAAATGTATATTTTATGGGACATCCCGAACCGTCTCGGCTTTTCTCGGGTTGTCCCGGTCCCGTTGTAAATGGGACAACATTGGGATAAAGACTTATCCCGTACCGAACCGGACCGTTGTTATAAAACCGGGACGGGATATGGATAAGCCAAATCCCTGACCGTCACTACTAGAAAACTGGCTTAAAGTGACACTTTCTTAAAATTAATGTCACTGACCAAAAACTAACATAAAAGTGTCGGTAACTCATGACACTCTCGTATCAACAAAAATAGTGATACAAGAGACGAATTATTTTAATTTAATTCTAAACCCATACATGCACATAACACGGCCTTCTCCTTCATCTGTGACTTAATTTAGAGCGAGAATCTCCCCACGCCATCTTCTTCATCTTCTCGATGCTTGTGCTGCTGTGCGGCAGTCAGTGCTGACGGCGGACAGAATCGGACCGGCGGACGCCCCTACGAAGTCTTCGTATGCAACGGTGGTAAGGGACTCAGCCCCCGGCCATCACCCGCACACACAAAGATGCTCTTTCGCCGATGCGGGCTTTCTAGGATCTTCCGGAACCTTCAATGGCTACCGAGCGGTCTCCATCTCTGCGGATGAGGTACAAGTTCTCTCTTGTCCCTTCCATTACGCCCTTGTCGGAACCTTCCCCTCTGGTCGCCCCCTACCTAAGATCCGCGGTACCTTTAAGGCATTAGGGTTCGCCCAACCCTTTTTGGTCTGTCTTCTTAAAGAAAAAATTGTTTCAAGCCTTTAAGGCGTTAGGGTTCGCACTGAAAGCCTATTCATATTCATGCACCACTTCTAATTTCTCCAGACCCTCGGTTGCAAGAATTTGTATTGAACTTGATGTTTTTCAGGAGCTCCCAAATAATATCAGGATAGGAAATGGTAAAAACGGATTTTTACAGACCATTGTGTATAAGAATTTACCTACTTTCTACCACAAGTGTTCACGGTTTGGCCACGAATTGACTGGCTGTCCTCGGGCAACCTCAATTTTGGGGCCTAACCCACTGAATTTGGCTACTAATTGTGCCACTACTGTTGTGAATCTTGTACCTATTTCTGTTGTGCATACTGCACCTCTTCTGCTACTACAGGTAATAAGGTTACTGCTGGTAAACTTGTTGTCCATGTTTTTTTCAGCACAACCTGGAATCCAAGCTTTACCCGGTACCTCTGATGGTGTCGGTCCTGTTAACACAGTTTGTGAAGCCCCCTAATGATAATACTGTTATAGTTGCTATTGACAGTTTGTTCCAGTGATGCCTCTATTGCCCTTTCAGATACCACTATGGTTGATTTTGACCCCTTGGTTAACAAAGCTTCTGATGGTGATGCTACTGTCCATTTTGATGCTTCTGTTGTTAAACGTTTACCTAAGGCTGACACAACTTGCTCACTGGTGACCCCCGATGTTGATGCACGTGGGCCTGAATCTTTGGAACCATATGTGTTTGATGAACCCCTGATGGCTACCTGTAACAAGGCAGTAATCGCAAGAGTTGTTCATCAAACAAGTGCCACTGATGCCTTCGCTACCAATGATGCTATAACATGACATGATGATATTCTATCTGATCCTCCGTGTACTCATACCACACATGTCCCTACTCAGTCCAATGATGATGTTATTTCTGAGGACATCCATACAGTTGTTCACTCTTTTTCAGGTACCAACAAAGAAGAAGACCACAATGGTTTTACTCCGGTAAAAGCGAGAATTGGATGGGGATAATTATTGTTGAGATTGGATGGGGATAAGCCCTATCTCACTGATAACTCCAATTACATTGTGGATTTGTATTTTAAGATTCCCATCAAGGATTAGCAGGTTGCAGGAAAGAAGATTTCTGCTTTAGAAAATTGATCGCATGCTTGATTATATGAAACCAACAACTTCATATTCCTATATTTACAAAAAAGAATTGAAACTCTTGAGTGATGATACGTTAGAAAGTTGGCTGTCAAAAAAGGTATAAACTTATTGGCATTGTAATGTTTTGTTTGTATGCATTTTTTAGTCATAACAAATAAGAGTCAATAACGCCATACTAGAGCCATTTGAAGAGTAGGCACATAAGTATGTAATTAATTAATTCATTTCATTGGTTTCTTTGATGTTTCAGTAGTATAAACTAAATTAATTATTTTCAAGTCATATTCATATAAAGAGCAGGTACATGAGTATAATCTTCTTACACTTTGACAGTTTGAATAAATTTTTGTGATTCAATTTTGTAAGACTAATAAAAAAACTGAGTTCGGCCGGGGAATCATCTCCGATCGGAAGTAGAACTCCTTCTCATTTGATTAGAGTTGAGACACCTTTGAGTTCCACTGTAGGTATTTTTTTATTCCCTTCCGTTTTCAATTTCCAATTTTTAATTCTCATTTCCTTTCAACTTTTTACTCCCCTGTCACATATACTTCATTCTCTTGCACTATGGTTACAGTGTACATTATTCAATAGCGCAGGATTTTGTTACTAAGATGACAATTAGTTAACATCTTGACATTAGTTATAGTAATAGTTATTTCTTCCTCTATGTTAATATTGGGGAGTGTTACTAAGATGACAATTAGTTAACATCTTGATATTAACTATAGTAGGATTCATGTTCTTTAGTATTCTTCCTTGAGTACTAATTAATTCATATTCATATTTCATATTAATATTTTGAACATTACTTAAAGGATCAACTAGTTTTGTTTCATATATTAATTATTACTAGAATCGATCGACGAATACGTTTGTTAATCGTTCAATCGTTTCACGGTAGTAAACTTGGGTTATTAATGCATGCGTTTCATGGTTAATAAACTAAGGGGAATTAATTATGTTGAATAAACCAATAAACTGCTTGTGTTGAGGTTATCAATCTCAATCGTTTTCATCTTGATTTTATTGCTACTATCAGGTTAATATATGGCGTGTGTTCTATATTAACTCGGTAGTAAGTTTTATTAATGAACGCGTCTCGTTATTAATAACTACCCTCGATGAACTGGATATACTCCTTGATTAAGTATTCGAGAGGAAGATAGTTAAAGATATAACCGGGATCGACGAACATTTCATTAAGTGGATAAAAGCAAAACCTAGTCTTCATCTCTATTAAAGTAAATCACATAAGTCGTTCATCTTAGTGGTAATCAAATCAAATCAAATCAAATCAAACACAACTATAATCCCCCCTTTGTTACTAGTTATAATATAAAAGAAAAATATTCTTTTCCCTATGGATATGAACCTTACTTCAATATACTACATATATTTGTTGTATTGAATATTTATTTTGAGTGCACACCACGACAAAGTGCACATCAAATTTGGCGTCGTTGCCGGGGAAAGACAATTATTTTTCTTTTTATTTTATTTCAAGAAAAATAAAAAAAATAGAAAACAAATATATTATGTAAATATAAGGATTTTTATTCATCCGAGCTTTGTTTGAGTATATGGTTAAACACCGATCTATAAACCAAATCACCTACCAAACAAACCCCGAAATAGAACAAGCCTTCGAGAGGTTTAGGAATTTAATGGCCTAAGAGGCGAGGATGCAAACAAACATCTTGCGGAGTTTCATATAGTTTGCATTACTATGAAACCGAATAATGTCACCGAAGAACAAATCAAGCTGAGGGCCTTTCCATTCTCACTGAAGGACACGGCTAAGGATTGACTATTCTATCTTCCCTCGGGAAGCATAGATACATGGGCGGCAATGAAGAAATGTTTCCTTGAAAGGTACTACCTCGCCTCCGTCTCATTATCTTTAAAAAAACAAATAAGCAACATTGATCAAAAAGATGATGTGACCTTATATGAATATTGGGATCGGTTCAAAAAGTTATGTGCTAGTTGCCCTTATCATGGCTACACCGAGCAAGACCTCATACTCTACTTTTACGATGGTCTTGTTGGTCAAGATAGAAGAATGGTGAATGCCGCTTGTGGGGGTGACATTGTCAACAAAACCCCCTCACAAGCAACAAGCTTGATCTCGGAGTTGGCCGAGAACTCTAGCCATTACAACGGGCGGTCCTCAACCCGTAAAGTTGTCGCGGCGGAATCATCTTCATCGTTAGAAAGTCAAATGGCCGGCTTGACTTCTTTGGTTAAGGATTTCCTCTTAAATCCTAGAAACCAAGAGGTCAAGGTCTGTGGCATATGCACACAGCAAGGACATCCAACCGATTCTTGCCCAACTCTCCAAGAAGAACAAGTCAATGCCTTGGGTTTCCAATCTCATCAACAAAAGAGGTACGATCCACACTCTAACACTTACAACCCCGGGTGGAGAGATCATCCGAATTTGAGATATGGGAACCCTCAACCACAACAAAATCAACCCTTTCAACAATCCTTCCCAAATCATCAAGGCCAAACTTCAAGCTCAGGTATGTCCACTGAAGACATGATTCGAGCACTTGCTGCAAATATATCAATGATGCAACAAAGTGTGGCTCAATTTCAAGAAACAACAAAATCTAGCATCCAAAATTTGGAAAATCAAATGAGCCAAATCTCAAGTGCGGTGAGCCGACTTGAGGGAAAAGACTCGGGTAAACTCCCATCTCAAACGGAACAAAACCCGAGACAACATGTTAATGCAATCATGTTGAGGGATGAGACAACATTGAGAGGGGTGCAGGAGGAAGAGAAACAAGCTCAAAATGGGGTTGATCTTGGAGAAGATTTTCAACCGGACGAGGAGGAACCAACGAAAAGAACTAAATTCTCTCCACTTTCATCATACGAACCACTCTCTCCATTCCCTGAGGCACTGAAGGACACAAGGAAGCTGAAGAATGATCGGGACCTCTACGAGACCTTCATCGATTCTGAGGTAAACATCCCACTCTTTAAATTAATATAATTAAAAGTGTTCCCCGTTATGCAAAGTTTTTCAAAGAACTATGCACAATAAAAGGGGAAAATAAATTGAAGGGGAAACAAAAAGTTGAGGTTAGTGAACGTGTCTCGGCCATTTTTCAAAAGAAACTTCCTAAGAAATGTAGCGATCCAGGCATGTTCACTATTCCTTGCAAAATAGGGGATACCATATTTTCTAAGGCCTTATTGGATTTAGGAACATCAATAAATGTCATTCCTTATTCCTTATATAAATCCTAACAACTTGGCCCACTACGTCAAACTGGTGTAGTGATTCAACTAGCGGATCAGTCTAATACTTACCCGAAGGGTGTAGTAGAAGATGTGCTTGTAGAAGTAGAAAATTTGGTTTTCCCTGTTGATTTTTATGTTCTGGAAATGGGAGATGATAACCAAACTACACCCATTCTTTTGGGAAGACCCTTTTTGAAAACCGCAAAAACAAAAATTAATGTGTCCAGTGGTTCATTAACAATAGAATTTGATGATCAAAAAGTAGAATTCAACATCTTTGATTCTACCGAAAAACAAATTAAAGATCAATCTCTTTGTTCTTTAAATGTTTTTGAACCACCACCAACACTAAATATTTTTGTTGAGAAGGAAACTAAAAAATTCTCAATTTTCAAAGAAATAAAAATTGAGCCAAAAAAATCTATTTTGAAAGGAGAAGAACTGAAAAAGTCGCCTCAGTGCAAGTTAAAACCACCTACACTTGAAGTGGTAACAAGAAAGAAAGTTTGGCCTTACTGGAAAAGGCCGAGGAAGAAAGCTGAAATGTGGACAAACATGGCCTTTGAAAATGAAACAAGAGATGTGTTCATGATCCCACATAAAACAGAAAATAAAATAAAAATAACGTCGTGCCGCGACATTAAATAAGGCGCTTCTTGGAAGGCAACCCAAGTTTGTATTTTGATTACTAGCATTTCTTTTTTGATGTGTGAGAAAACCTTTAAAAAAACAGAAAAGTGCATGTTTTGAAGAGAAGGAAGCATACTCGGTCGAGTACCATATATACTCGACCGAGTTCGGATACCTGGGGTGAAAAACAAACAAAAAAAATGTTTTTGGCAATACCCAGTCGAGTACTTGGAATACTCGGTCGGGTATGTGCAGAAAATCGATCCCAGAACCTACTACCTCAGACGCGAAAACAGGTGTTTAGAGACATACCCGGTCGAGTATGTCTAATACTCGGTCGCGTATCGATGGAAATGCAGGTTCCAGACCTCACTGCCAGCGCGCAAAAACACCCACTTCTAGACATACTCGACTGAGTATCGGAGGATACGCAGTTGAGTATATGAATTTTTAAACTAAACTCGTCCGATCAGTCGCCCTATTTCATCTTCCCCAACCCAACATTTGCTTTCTCTCTCTACAAACACCACCATTTTCAAACCTTCAACCTTCAATTACTCCCTCATTTCTCAACCAAATCCTCCCAAACCACCACCAAAATTCTCCCCTCACTCTCCTCTACACACTAATACCCATCAATCCTATCCTCTCCCCTAAATTCGAAATCCGAAAATCCCTACCCCCAAATCCCAAAAGTCCGAATTTCTTAAGAGCCTAAGAGGTACTCATGGCTCCCAAACGAGATAGGGTCGTGACACAATTAGCAAGGACACCAGTTCCAGGCTATGAAAGGGTCTGTTTCAGAAACGACGAACACAGGGCGAAATTTGTTGAACAAATTGAAAGAGAGGTACACCCTTCACGTTTTTTGTGTCATGCTACTCTTACCATTCTAGGTATCCTTGAAACAATGCATGCTTTGTTCATGAAGTTGAGTATGGAATTGATTTTTGGCATGAAGTACAATTCAAATGAGGATGTTATCTATGAGTTTTTGAGCTCGGCCATGTTTGTATCAAATGCACATGATTTTCTTGAGGACAAACTCACGTTTAGGTATTCCAACACTGAACGTTCAATTACAAAACATGCGTTTGCAAATCATTTTGGCATCCCGATTCCTGATATGAGGAAAAATTCCGATGACACGAGTTATGGGCATAACATGTGGAAAACAATGACGGGAGAAGAGAGAGTTAGTTGACTTAGTTCCTCTTCACTCACTATAACTCATGTCCAACACCCGGTGCTTCGCATATTCTTGAAGTTTTTGGCTAATAGCATTCTTGGGCGCGCAAACAACCATCACACAAGAATGGGTGATGTATGCTTATTGACCATGTCTCAAAATGCAAATGCAACACCCTTTAACTTGTGCAACTTGATGTGGGAACATCTCAAAAAAAAATGCAAGGCAAAGGGGACTATTTGGGCGGGAGGAGTAATTATGCATTTGACAACAAAATTTGGCTATACGGATCGTCATCCTATAGCTGACTACTGTTTGATGGACATTGATTATCCGACCAGTGCCTTATGTATCTCCCATTCCCATTATAATAAGCTAGGTAAGGACTACTACAAGTGGACTATTCATCCTAGGCCCTTCTGATATTTCACTTTGCCCTCTGATGACCTACCTCCACTTATTTTCATTGAGGATATGAGCCATGTACGCCACTACTTATTTCCCAATGCCATACCTCCACACCTTCGACATCCTGTAGATGATCTACAGGAAGAGCATCATGAAGATATGCATGAGGACATGCCCAACCCACCTCAAAACCCACCTCAAAACCCACCTCAAAACCCACCGCAAAACCCACCGCAAAACCCTCCTCCAACCGACTATTTCCAACAACTTCTAGCCGGATTTCAAAACATGAGAACGGACTACAAGACCATGGTGGGTCAATTTGACCAACTTAGGCAAGAAGTTGTTTGTTATCGAGAGGAGCAAAGCACGGGATTTCAAATATTGGAGGAGGACCGCCAAGCGGACAATCAACGATATGAGGAAGATCACCGTAGGATGTATGGTCCAATGTACTCCTACATAGCTCACCAAGCCTCTTATAATGCTATGGCCACCCCACCTCCACCACCCTCATGGTATGACCCCACTCACTATGGTAGTTTTGGGGGATCGAGTTCTGGCGGTGGGGGCTATGATGGCGGATTCGGAGGAGATGCCACTATGGGCGACGAAGGCACCGGCGGTGGTTTTGGAGGCGGTTTCTATGGTGGCGAGGGCGGGCACTAGGGATAGTGCTTGGATTAAGAAGGGGGGAGACTCCTCATTGGTATGTAAATTTCCTGTTTCTACTTTGTACTGAGCATTATTTTCTTTGTTTTTTTTTAAAATAGTAATAAAAAGAAAAAATGCTAGTTAGGTTGAAAACCCAAAAACGGGCAATCTAAGCAAAAAGGGCTTATAAACAAGAAATAAGTGAGTTGGAAAGGATGGAAAAATTAAAAGAGGTGCTAGGATGAAAACCTGAAAAGGCTCCTAAGCAAAATGAGAGATATGAGAGAAATATCTGTTTTTTTACAGGACCTCATTTGATCTCTTGAAAGAAGAGGAAGGGAAGAAGAAGAAGAAGAAGAAGAAGAAGAAGAAGAAGAAGAATAAAAGTTTGAGCATAGAAGACCCAAAAAAAAACACAAGAACAATGTTGTTTTATAAACTCATTTAGATTCCTTGGTGGTATTACGTTCTTTCCTTTTAGCACTCATTAAAACTCTTAAATGTTTTGGAAAATTCTACTTTACTCGAGGGCGAGTAAAGAGCTAAGTGTGGGGGAGTTTGATACCTTTGTAATTTCCATGTGTATGTTTGTATTTTTAGTTAATTTTGTTGGTTGATACTTTGGAAATTACACACTTTTGGTGTAATATTTTAGTTTGCAAAATTATTTGTAATTTGTTTAGATTAGGATTATTCTGAGCTTAGGACAGGTCAAAATCATCCCAAGAATCAAAGGATGGATCCTAAAGACCAAAGAATGTGCAAAAAGGAGAAGATCAAATGAAAATTTTGAAATTTGTTCAATACTCGGTCGAGTACTGCCAATACTCGGTCGAGTATTGGCCAGATACGCTGGTCAAAATCAAATCTGGGAGCAAAAGAACGTGGCTGAATATTTGATGAAAATCATGTATCATACTCGGTCGAGTATTGGCAATACTCGGTCGAGTATGCCTATTTTTCACAATTTCCTGGAAATTTCCTCTCATACCCGGTCCAGTATCCCATATACTGGATCGAGTACAGAACTCTGCCACCTCCATTTTGCTATAAATACACCCCATTTCCTTCACATTAAGGGAACCAATTCACATATACTCTTTAGCTCAGTTTAGATTAGTATTTTCTTTACATTTTCTATCATGTATAGTCTCCAAATGAGGAGCTAAACTCTTCCATCTTGGTTTTGCTACTTTAAAGCTTAATGAATTTGTAAGTTGTGAGTTATTCTCTTTAATTTTCTTCCTTGAATATTACTTCTTCCTTTAAATACTATTTCTATATCAATGTTGGGGAGTGTTACTAAGATGACAATTAGTTAACATCTTGACATTAGTTATAGTAATAGTTATTTCTTCCTCTATGTTAATATTGGGGAGTGTTACTAAGATGACAATTAGTTAACATCTTGATATTAACTATAGTAGGATTCATGTTCTTTAGTATTCTTCCTTGAGTACTAATTAATTCCTATTCATATTTCATATTAATATTTTGAACATTACTTAAAGGATCAACTAGTTTTGTTTCATATATTAATTATTACTAGAATCGATCGACGAATACGTTTGTTAATCTTTCAATCGTTTCACGGTAGTAAACTTGGGTTATTAATGCATGTGTTTCATGGTTAATAAACCAAGGGGAATTATTTATGTTGATTAAACCAATAAACCGCTTGTGTTGAGGTTATCAATCTCAATCGCTTTCATCTTGATTTTATTGCTACTACCGGGTTAATATATGGCACGTGTTCTATATTAACTCGGTAGTAAGTTTTATTAATGAACGCGTCTTGTTATTAATAACTACCCTCGATGAACTGAATATACTCCTCGATTGAGTATTCGAGAGGAAGATAGTTAAAGAATAACCGGGATCGACGAACATTTTATTAAGTGGATAAAAGCAAAACCAAGTCTTCATCTCTATTAAAGTAAATCACATAAGTCATTCATCTTAGTGTTAATCAAATCAAATCAAACACAACTAAAATCCCCCCTTTGTTACTAGTTATAATATAAAAGAAAAATATTCTTTTCCCTGTGGATACGAACCTTACTTCAATATACTACGTATATTTGTTGTATTGAATATTTATTTTGAGTGCACACCACGACAAAGTGCACGTCAATGGAGTTGTTAAAATTCCTCCGAGGGAGTTCGAGGTATTTTAATCCCTTTGAGCCAAGAGATTTTTCCTCGTTAAATTCTTGTGCACTTTACTATTTTGCAAATCCCTTTACCCCACACTAGAACTGGGTGAAAAACTGTCACGGTTCCGCACACACAATTCACCCTCCCTCTTGTGTTGCTAACTGTTTCATCATTGGTTCATGCAACGACCTGGGTGGCAGATCTTGGCTTTCGAGATTTTCAGGTGGAAATGGATTCCACCGAGGTTTTGGAGTATATCTCTTGCAGTCGGATTGGAAGATGGGGTGTGGAGGTGCGCCGCTTGTTGACTCTGTCTAACAAAAGGGGTATTTCCTTTTTTGTTGTTTGGAGGGAGGGTAATTGGGCCGCCCACTTTGTGGCAAAATTGTATTTGGGCCTGGGCATGATCTATAAACAGATTGATGAGTTGCCCACTACGGTCTGAAGCTCGGTCTATCTTGATATGTTTGGACTAGCATCTTTGAGAATAGCTTGGTAATTATTTTATTATTTGTTAAAAAAAGAAGGTACTTAACTTTTAGAGAACAGGTGCCCCAAGGTAGCAATTTTTCTTTAAAACCCCTTTTGCCGTGTCATTACTGCTGGCATTATTAACAATGACAGTAGAGACATATTTCAATCTCTATCTACCAAGAAAGACTCTAGATCTTTGGCTTGGTACTCCTCTCACTACAAGAAAAACTGTTTTTTGCGTCAACAAAAAGTGGACACAAAAAGTCAAAAGTCGACGCAAATACTTTATTTGCGTCAACAAGTGGACGCAAATGTGTCGACGCAAAAGGCTCGACGCAAAAAGTTTTTTAGTGTCCACATCCGTCGACGCAAATAAATTTTATCTTTTGCGTCGACTTTGTCATCGCAAAAAGTCATTGAATTGGAAAAATAAAAAGCATCTTTTGCGTCGACATGTGGACGCTAAAGATTCTGATTTTTAAAAAATAAAAAATTGTTGTGAAATGAAGAAGATGAAGAACAGATTTAAGAGATAGATATATTGATAAAAACCTCTAAATAACTTCTTCTTAATATCTGAAATTTCTGAGTTTCTGAATTACATTTACAAAGGATTAAGCACCCTATTTATACTAGTTGGCTAGGAGATGAATCATCAAAGAATGATTCTACATAATTTGTTGGCAACATTAAACCTAGCCATCTGTCTATTACAAGGACTAGAATTGGATTAGTGTCCTGATGACAAGGATGAACAATTCACACTTGTCATTCTCAGGAATTTACAACACTCCCCCTTGAATGTTCATCCTTGAATAGATATTTGTTATATTAAGATTTATTTATGAAAAATTTAAAGTTTAAGGGGTAAGAATTACGACTTGTAATGTCGTTGTGTTTGGATGTACTGTCTCGTTAAAAACCTTATCAGGAAAAACCCAGTGGGATAAAAACCTGATGAAGGAAAAAAGAGTGCAGTGCATTCAAATACTCCCCCTGAATTTAGCATAAAGTTTGAAGGCGGCACATCCCGATTTTCTGTACAAGTTCTATGAATTTCTTCGGGGGTAATGACTTGGTGAAGAGATCGGCCGGATTTTCACTGGATCTGATTTGTTGAATGTTGATCGTCCCTTCTTTCTCCAGATCATGAGTAGAGAAGAACTTTGGTGATATGTGTTTCGTTCTGTCTCCTTTGATGTAGCCTTCTTTAATTTGAGCTATGCACGCGGTGTTGTCTTCATAGATCACAGTCGGGTGACAAGTAATAGGCTTCATACCGCATTCATTTTGGATGTGTTGAATCATAGATCGCAGCCACACGCATTCCCTCCCGGTTTCATAAAGTGCAATTAACTCCGAATGATTTGATGATGTAGCTGTCAACGTCTGTTTCATAGATCTCCACGAGATTGCGGTATTACCATAAGTAAATACGTACCCGGTTTGTGATTTTGCCTTTTGAGGATCTGATAAGTATCCGGCGTCTGCATATCCGATTAAAGAAGCTGTTGCATCTTTGTGGTAGAATAGGCCGAGATCAACTGTACCACGGAGATAACGGAATATGTGCTTGATCCCGTTCCAATGACGTCTTGTTGGGCATGAACTATACCTAGCTAATAAATTTACAGAAAATGCAATATCTGGTCTAGTATTATTAGCTAAATACATTAAAGCTCCAATAGCACTCAGATATGGCACTTCGGGACCGAGTATATCTTCGTCGTCTTCTCGGGGACGGAATGGATCATCGTGTATGTTGAGAGATCGAGTGACCATTGGTGAAGTCAAAGGATGAGCTTTGTCCATATAGAATCTCTTCAACACTTTCTCGGTGTAATTGGATTGATGGATGAAAATTCCATTCTTCAAATGCTCAATTTGAAGTCCGAGACAAAATTTGGTTCTCCCGAGATCTTTCATTTCAAATTCTTTCATAAGATATTTTGCAGTATTTTCAATTTCATCGGGAGTTCCAATAATATTTAAGTCATCAACATATACTGCAATTATGGCGAATCCCGAATTTGATCGCCAAATGAAAACACATGGACTAATCGGATCATTCTTATATCCTTCTTTGAGAAGGTATTCACTGAGACGATTATACCACATTCGTCCAGATTGTTTTAGTCCATATAATGACTTTTGTAATTTAATGGAAAACATGTCTCGAGGTTTCGAGCTATAAGCTTCAGGCATTTTAAATCCACCGGGAACTTTCATATAAATGTCTGTATCAAGTGAACCATATAGATAGGCGGTCACTACATCCATTAGGCGCATTTGCAGCCTTTCAAAAACAGACATGCCAATGAGAAACCTTAATGTAGTTGCATCAACTACTGGAGAATAGGTTTCTTCATAATCGATTCCCGGCATTTGAGAAAAACCTTGGGCAACAAGTCGGGCTTTATATCTAACAATTTCATTTTTCTCATTGCGCTTACGCACAAATACCCATTTAAAACCCACATGTTTTACGCCTTTTGGCGTATGGACTATCGGTCAAAAAATATCACGTTTTCAAGTGATTTTAATTCAGCCTGAATAGCTTCATTCCATTTTGGCCAATCGTGTCGTTTCCGACATTCTTCAATTGATGTTGGCTCATTGTCATTGTTTTCATTCATAACATTTGTGGCAACGGCATAGACAAATATCTCATTAATACCAAAATCTTTTCGATTCCATTGCATTCCAGTAGAAACGTAATTTATTGAAATTTCATAATTATCAACGTTTCTATCAGTATCTGGAATATCTTCCTCATTTAAGGAAGTTGAATCATTATTTGAGATGTTTGTTTTGTCAATATCATTTTCTATGCCAGTATTTTCAAATTGTTCATTTTCTTGTTCAGAAGGATGAACATCTTTGGCATCACAGATCAATTCCTGCCTTTTAGTCTTTCTTGGTTTTATGTCTTTTGATCCAAGTGGCCTGCCACGCTTTTTGCGTATAGAAGAATCATTTGCGAGAGATTTTTCAGAATTCTCCGCTGGAATTTCAATTCTGGTAGGGGCATTCATAGCAGGAATATGTGACTTTGTCACTTTCTTTGTGTCTGTGAATGCATCGGGCAACTGATTTGCAACATTTTGTAAATGGATTATCTTTTGCACCTCTTGCTCACATATATTTGATCTAGAATCAAGGTGTGATAATCCTGTTGCATTCCATGTTATTTCTTTCGTACTTG